AGAGAGAGAGAGAGAGAGAGAGAGAGAGAGAGAGAGAGAGAGAGAGAGAGAGAGAGAGAGAGAGAGAGAGAGAGAGAAGGTAAACTCTAAGTAGACCCCATACTAGAAGCCAGCAAATTCATGAATAAAGCAAAACGACACCAGCTGAATAAGGCAAATAAAATTAATAAATTGAAATAATGCAATCATCCTATGCTGACGAGTCGTCCAGCAGAAGCTGCACAATTCAGAAAAGATTTACAAAGAGGCATACAGAAAATGAAGGGGGGTAAGAGGGAGGGAAGGGAAGGGAAGGGGAGGGGAGGGGAGGGGAGGGGAGGGGAGGGGATATACCATTACAACTAGAAGATAATATACATTTCATGAAGGCTTTCAAAAAGCAATGCAGTGCTTCTGCATTCTTGCTTCTCGTGCTGTTCACATGGGTTCCTGTGCGTGATGATGCATGTCTTGTATACATTTTATGGTATCACTTCTTTAAAGTTTTGTTTTTTTTCCCCAAAATTTTAATAAGAAAACCCTAGGTTGTTGTAGGGGTTGGATGCTAGACATATTGCAGCCACCTTCAGTCACCAGCCATTTGTTGCCCAGATCGTCAAGAGGTATACGCCATATGGTATCTTTTTCTTTTCTTTTCCCTTCCTTTCTTTTTTTTTCTTTTTCTTTTTTTTCAGATAGGGATTAAGATTGATCTTTATCATCATTCTCCATAAGAGTTGTGGTATCACTCCTTATTAGTCCTTAAGCATATAAACATTACCTAGTGCAACTGCCAAGTTGTGCAAACCAAGAGACAATGGGTTTACGATATTATAGATGTACCCTTGTAGATGTCACCCACCTTCTAACGTGGATAAGAAATATTAAGAATCATGACAAGAAGAGAGGTCCTCTATACAAAGCCAGTACACAGCCCCAGTCTTGCTGAAATGAAACTCGTTGCCTACTCCGAAAAGATCAGGCTCGGGCCGCCGTTGATAAATTTCATCAACGGCCTTTGTCATGTTTCCGGGCTCTGAAAGTCATGGTGAGGGCCCCCTCCGAAAGTCGCGGTGAGGGCCCCCTCCGAAAGTCGCGGTGAGGGCCCCCCAGCCGATGTATGGCCGTGCACTGGTGCGTTCAAGTTGTGCATCCATCCCTGTGTATCTATGGGCTATATAGTAAACAACCCTTGACTCTACTCTGAGTCCAGAGTATGGAGTATGGAATATTGACTGGATCGGATAGCTCCTCTCCTAGTCAAAAGCATCAACAACTGGTTGTCCAAAATGGAGATCCCAACCGGACTGCTGGCCCCCCAAGAATAGAAGGCGCGAGTGTTTTCCAGGAGAAAAAATAAAAATAAAAATAAAAATAAAAATAAAAATAAAAATAAAAATAAAAATAAAAATAAAAATAAAAATGGAGATCCCAGATTGTATCAGCAATTGGACATACGAGTACAGGTGAAGTCGATGAATTGAACTGATCACTGACTTGCTGCTCCACTCTTTTTTTCTTTTCTTTTTTTTTGTTCTTTTTTTTTTGCTGCTCCACTCTTGAAGGGTATGTAATTATTATTGTAATATATTGTCACATCACTACAAACTAAAAGAGCGCACTTTGCGGAACAAAGAATAAAAGCAAAAAACGGGCACAGTGATAACATGCAAAAATA